GCCCGCGGGCAGGAAGAACATAAGTGTCTACCTTGAGAATTGGGAGATCTTGGAGTTCCAGCTGTTCGAGAATGTCAGTGCCACATGTCTGGAAATTCTGTTGGACTATGGTATGGGGCAGAATAACAGTACCACTACAAGAACTGAGGTAATGATGTTTTTCGATAGTGATAGGAATAGTATCGATATGTGAAAGAAGAGAAAGATCATGAGCTTGAGTAGAATTCTGGACTGTGATGATGCGCGTACCCCTCTTAAGAGCATGAAAGGAAATATCTCTACCAACGTGGCGTAGGAGCGCTTTGCCAATACTATGGTCGGAAAGATAGGCAGTAGAAGAAGTCGGTCTTAATGTAAAGAATTTAGTCCGTTGTGTGGTCTGAAACCGAGTGTGGAGAGGGAGTGCACGACGTGTCGGTCTTTTCCGAGTAGAAAGGGAAGGTAACGAAGTAACATCATTAGGAGATTGTCGTTGACATTTAGAAGTGGGACCAGAGTCGGTTCGACGTGGGATGGGCTGGCGATTCAAAAATCGCCGCACCGTAGAGGGAGAAGCCGGAAGCATAGTCAAAGGAGAGCGGAGGTCAGACAAATCGAAGGAGTCAGTGGAAGCCCCGGTACCTGAAGCGGGTGAGGAAACAGCACCAGCAAGAGGTACAGGGGCCTTAGGAATGTCCGAAGAGTGGCCAAAAGATGAGGTGAGGTCAGAACGGGGTGCGGTAACAATAAGGGCCCCGGGGGTAGCGGGGTCATGGATCGGGTACTCCATGGTTAGGTTACTTCTTTCTTTTTGTTTTTAAGAAAAAAAAAGAAAGAAAATAAAAATAAAAAAAAGAATAAAAAAAGGGGGGACCGGGGAGGGATAGTTCCTAGGAGGAATAAAAGGGCTAGAAATCTCCCTCCGCGCCCAAGAGGACCTCAGCACCGCAAGTAGCGCGGATGCAGCATGGAACCCGTGCCATACCCTACCCATCATGCCAGTAAACCAGCAATCCGGGATAGCAACCTCACATCTGCCAAGCTACCTCAGTGGACAAAAGAGAGGGCGGCCGGATATCTGCCACAAAGCATACCTCCTTCGGCCACCATCCCCGGAATCCAAAAGGTGGCTTCCAGAGATACACCCGTCGCCCGAAAGACACCCAAAGCCACCCTCCAGGATACCGGAGAGGGATCGGAACATCCCCAGGCGATCCAGATTCCACAGCAAACTACGCCACCGCCTAGAACCTCAACGGAATGGGATGGACCCTGGTACCCTTTCCCCTACCCAGGAACTAGCACGCCTGTGGGAAAAAAATCCCAAAGGCCAAAAAAGGATGGGCAAAAGGGAGGGGTGGGGAGGAGGAGGAAGAAAGGAAAAAGGGGAGGATGGGATAGGGAAGGGGGGATTGGGGGGTAATTAGGTTCGGTCTGAGGAAGGAGATCGACAGGTCTAATTCCTCAGACCAAGAGCCTCTTCACCATGCCAAGGAGCCCCCCCTTGAAGAGGTGTGATGCTTTTAAACGATGTCATTTCCTCAAAGTAACCTCCAGATTAGTTTTAATTTCCTGAGTTGCTAGCAGTGGTGCATTGAGGCATCTGTGGAGACAAAGAACATTATCTCTGGAGACAAAAGAGAGAATGTATGAGAATATAGTGATACTAACACTCTTATATGGGTGTGAAGCATGGGTTATGAATGTGGCAGCAAGGAGGAGGATGGAGGCAGTGAAGATGTCATGTCTGAGGGCGATGTGTGGGGTGAATATTAGGCATAGAATTCATAGTTTGGGGATTAGGTGTGGAGTTACTAAAGATATTATCCAGAGGGCTGAGGAAGGCTTGTTAGGTGGTTTGGACAGAGCAAAATTGGACTAGTTGGAGTGTGTATAAATCTGTAGTGAAGGAAAGACGGGGTAGGGGTCATCCTAGGAAAGGTTACCTTTACGTTTGATATACCTTTGAAGAATTTCGAGAGTATATCTACTCTCTGAGCCTGGCCATGGGCCAGGTTCGTCTAGTGCTCGCCTGGTCAACCAGGCTGTTACTGCTGGAGGCCCGCTGCCCCACATATCCATCACAGCCTGGTTGATCTGGCACCTGATGAAGATACTTGTCTAGTTTCCTCTTGAAGGCTTCAACACTTGTTCCAGCAGTGTTTCTGATATCTTCTGGTAAGATGTTGAAAAGTCTGGGACCCCGGATGTTGATACAGTGTTCCCTTATTGTCCCCACTGCACCCCTGTTCCTCACTGGGTTTATTTTACACTTCCTCCCATATCTCTCACTCCAGCATGTTATGGCAGTGTGAAGATTTGGGACCAAGCCCTCGAGTACCTTCCAGGTATATATTATCACGTACCTCTCTCTCCTCCGCTCCAATGAGTACATGTTCAAGACTTGCAGGCGTTCCCAGTAGTTTAGGTGCTTTACTGGCTCAATGTGAGCCGTAAACGATCTCTGTATTTGTTCCAGCTCCGATATTTCTCCTGCCCTGAACAGGGCCGTCAGCACTGAGCAATATTCTAAGTGAGGGAGCACTAGCGATTTGAAGAGTGTCACTATCGGCATTGTTTCCTTTGTTTTGAAAGTTCTCAATACCCACCCAGTCATCTTCCTGGCTGTCGTGATCCTTGTCTTGTTATGGTCTTTAACCCTTTGACTGTTTCCGATGTATAAATACATCTTACGAGCCAATGTTTCTGACGTATTTATACGCATAAATTCTAGCAGCTTCAAATCAAGCAGGAGAAAGCTGGTAGGCCCACATGTGAGAGAATGGGTCTCCATGGTCAGTGTGCACCATATAAAAAAAATCGGGGAGCCAGTGGTGCATTGTGGGAATGCCATTTCAGTTGTCCTTTTTCAGCATGTCTAGCGGTAAGAAATATGTGATTCCCCAGCAAATCTGGGACTCTTCTCTTCTCAAGTGATGCTCTAACACAGATGGAAGTGTCAGTGAAGATCAATTTCATGATTTGGAGGAGTTTGAGACCAAAAGCAATGGAGGAGGAGGAGGGGGAGGAGGGGAGGAGGGGAGGAAGAGGAGGAGGAGGGAAGGAAGAGGAAGAGGAGGAGGAGGAAGAGGAGGAGGAGGAGGAGGAGGAGGAGGAGGAGGAGGAGGAGGAGGAGGAGGAGAAGAGGAGGAGGAGGAGAAGAGGAGGAGGAGGAGAAGAGGAGGAGGAGGAGGAGGAGGAGGAAGAAGAAGATGTAATAATATTGTTCCCTTGAAGCAAGAAAAAAAAAAGTCCACCCCATGACAGTGACAAGATAAGGGGAGATAACATCTGATAAGAGCTGACTTTGATGAGTGTAAAGGAGGGTAATATTACATGACCATCACCCTCCCTTTGTTTTTGCTGGTACACAAACATTTCTGTCTGTCTATTTGTCTGTCTGTCAAGCTCCCTGTCTGTCCATCTAGCTCTCTGTCTCAGAGAGAGCCACAAGACTGTGTCATCACGTTTACTCACATCTTCAAGCAGAGTATAGCACTTTGTCTGGATTTCTTGGGTTATCCTAGGTAATTTACACTATGTATACTTGTATTTATGTGTACCTGTGAGACAGAGATAGGGAGACAGATTGAAAGATATAGAATGAGGGAGAAAGATAATTAGATAGAATGGAGGAGGGGAAGCAGCATCCGACCCCATTGTTTTGACAGGCAGGAGGGGGAGTAAGTAATGAGACAATATGTCACTTTGACAGCTGCTGACTTCTGACTCAAAACAATTATAAGCCACACACTCGCACACAAGAGGAGGAGGAGGAGGATGAGGATGAGGATGAGGATGAGGATGAGGATGAGGAGAGGATGAGGATGATGATGATGATGATGATGATGATGAGATGATGATGATGATGATGATGATGATGATGATGAGGATGATGATGATGATGATGATGATGATGTGATGATGATGAGTGATGATAGATGAGATGATGATGATGATGATGATGATGATGATGATGATGATGATGATGATGATGATGATGATGATGATGATGATGATGATGATGATGATGATGATGATGATGATGATGATGATGATGATGATGATGATGATGATGATGATGATGATGATGATGATGATGATGATGATGATGATGATGATGATTGTTTGTTTGTTTGTTTTTGTAAACAAGTTTTGTAAACAATATATTGATAATTATGTTTGTGTGCTTATTGTGTTGTATACAACGAGTGTATATATATACATTGCACCTTACTTTGGTCTCACAGGCCACATAAGTTATGTGAAAAAATAAAATAGTGAAAAAAACAAAAAACCTTCAATTACAAGTAAACTAAAGTTTACCAGGTGAGCGGCAGTCGCCTCTGTTGCCATACGCGGCTCATTTTCTGCAAACTTCACGGCTCTATATCTCGGTAAGTACCGATGGCAAAAATTTTTTTTTTTTGGACTAAAACACTCAGAAAAATAATCTTAACATTTTCATAAGAAAAAATAATTTTTTTTTTTTGAATATTTGGCGACATAGAATGACAGTTTCAGAGAGGGGCCTGAAACAGTCAAAGGGTTAAAAGAAAGGTCTGCTGACACAATTATTCCCAGGTCTTTTACGTTTTCCTTACGTTCTATTTGGTGACCCTCTTGAGTTTTGTATATAGTGCTCCTTTTGAGTTCTTCATTCTTGGAGGGGGGTAAAGGTTTTATATACGAGAGGCTTGGATATCCAACAGGTTTTTATGACTTGACGTGCTGCTGAAGTGTGAGCAAGGTAATATTTATGGAGAGATTAAAAAAACGAACAGTTAGCCAGTCTTGAGTCCAGGTGTCTGCACTCTGAAGGAGGGGTGGGGATATGGCAGTTTGGAGGGGTATTTGAACTGTATTACTGGCATGTCTCTGGCAAGACAGTGATGGAGTAAGTGATGATGAAAGTTTCTTCTTTTTCAGGTCGCCCTACTTTGGTGGGAGACAGCTAATGTATTAAAATTAAAAAAAAAAATAAAAAGTAAATTTTTGAGCAAGGAGAATCAAAACCTTCAGTAATGGAGTCTGTATAATCTACCAATTTAAAATATGTATGGTTTCATAGGGAAATGATGATTATTACACAAGTTATGATTTTTCCAAAGAAATGCTTATTGTCCTGTCACCTTCAAAATGACTTATAGGTCAAACTGAGCTAAAATTTAGATAATAGAAGATAACCTTCTATACCAAATTTGAAAATATTTGAAGATAGGTTGTTAGGCACTGGTGGTCTCATCCTGGGCTTCTCTTATATTTGCTGGCAATAAACTCTAACTACCCACTTGTAACCATCGAGATCATTAATTCTGCTATAAACATACCAGGAGTCTTAAAGTCAAAATGAAACCATCATTTAATCTTAAACATCTTTAACAGTGATTATCTGTACATGACATGACAAGGCTATGTAGCAATTAGGAGCTCTTGATTTAGGGAATTGGATCTGTGCTCCAGTTCCCTGAATTAAGCCTGAATGCCTTCCACATCCCCCCCCAGGCGCTGTATAATCCTCCGGGTTTAGCGCTTCCCCCTTGATTATAATAATAATAATATGTAGCAATTATTGTTTTATTATGGACAAAGTCAAATGTGGTTAGTTTTGCCCTTGAAAGAGTCCATTCATATAGGGACATTAAAACTGTAAACGTGTTAAAAAATTAGATATAAAATGTGTAGAAAAACAATGTCAGGATTTCATTCTAAGTACTGTACATGTGTGATAATAAATATGTGAATCAATATGTACTTATTAGCTACACTACTTTCAAAAAAAGTAAAAAAAAAAAAAAAAAAAAATTACAGTATAAACAATTTAAATTCCATATTAACCCTTTGACTGTTTCAGGCCCCTTTCTGAAATTGTCATTCTATGTCGCTCAATTTTTGAAAAAAAAAAAAAAAAAAAAAAAATTATTTTTTTCTTATGAAATGATAGAGAATCTTTTCCCGATGGTCATGACACCAAAAGTTCGAAATTTGGTCAAAAACTCATGGAATTATGCTCCCGCGAAGTTAGCGGTCTCGGCGACATGTGTATCGGCGATTTCGCCGACTTTGAGCCCTATTTTCAGCCAATTCCATTGTTCCAGTTGACCAAACTCATAGCTATTTCTTTAGAACTCCATTTTATCTATCAGATGAGTACAAGAAACCTCCCATTTACTAATTTGGACTACCCAATATGGTGGTCAGAAATTGGCAATTTGGCCAATTTCACGCAAACTAAAAAAGATGCCAATTTTAAAATAGGGTCCAGAATAAACAAGGTAGACATTCGTGGCACTAAAATAACATATGCTCTGTTCATTAGTCACATCTCTAGGCCCCTCTTATATTATTATTGCTTTCTATTTTGATTTTTTATTCATACAAAAAAATACAAAATTTACTGTTATGCAGACTATTGCATTATTGTAAAAATGGTATAAATAATATCAGTGCACTAGTGAAAGAATATTAGACTCCCCAGTTGATGTGTACTGGATGTGTGGTGTGATTTATTTACTCCTGAACATTGGTAAAAATCGAACATTTCCGCTACTTTGAGCTCAGTTTCAAGGTCGTTTTCATCGTCAAAGTAATGAAAATCATCTCTATTTCTGTAATATGTTTTCCATTTTATCACCTAAGACCATGAAAACACGAATACAACGATAAATACTATACGAAAATACACCTCAAAGTCGGCGTTTTATTCCAAAAAAACGATCAGTTTTTTTTCTCATTACGCAATGTGTGCTGCAGGATTTTTTTTATGTGGTGCACACTGACCACACAGACCCATTCTCTCACATGTGGACCTACCAGCTTTCTCCCGCTTGATTTGAAGCCGCTAGAATTATTGAGTATATATACGTCAGAAACATTGGCTGAAAACAGTCAAAGGGTTAAGTGACACTATACTGTACGAGACAATCTATACGAGACAATCTACATTGCAATCTAATGTCAAGTCCCAGGGTATTTGTGAATCAACCCGTATCTCTTATTTTTCCTTTTTCCAGATATACAGTAGTAAATTTATAAATTTTTCTACAATTCAGTCCCATTCATTATTTTCTTCCTCTGACATGTCAGCCTCATTTCCTGGTGGTTCAGGGAGGTGTATATTTGATAGAAGATCACGCATAGCATCTAGAAGTGTGTTGACTGAAGCTCTGAGGTCTCCAACAGCTCGTACCTCTTCCTCTGCTCCTGCTTCCTCTAATGCTGCTGCGCCTTCCTCAGTCCTAAAATAAGTGAATGAAAATATATTAGTAAAAACAAATAAAATATATGCCAGTATGTACTGTATATATTAGTAAAATATATAAATAACTCATTTCCCTGAATCCCTTCATGAATGTTACTGTTCACACTCCAACATAACGTCAGGCCATAAAAAACAATTGTCACCATTAACTCTTATCTATCATGCTTGCACAAACCTGCTGGATGCTTAAGCCCCTGGAACTCAAAACCTCTTTTACCCCATCTTCCTTCCTCCACTACAGATTTAATACACCATCATCCCATTCTTCTCCATCCTCTCTAAATACCCAAACCACCTCAGCAACCCTTTCTTAGCCCTCTGAATTATGCCCTTGGTGACCCTATACTGTCTTGCAATTTCTACATTCCAAACCCTCTGCATAATATTTACACGGCATACGCTTTCAAACATGATTTAATTTTATAAATGTACAATTAAATTACCAGTGTGACAGATACACAACATTCAGTAAAAAACACAAAATCTACCTTTAGATTCACAAAATCATAATTAACACAACTGCAAATATATCTCACAGCAGCCATACATAGTGAGGCCCATACTACTCTCCCTATAGTGTATAGAAATATACAGAAGAGCCCCACTTATACGGTAGGTTAGGGTCCAGGCTACCACCTTAAAGTGGAAATCGCCGTAAGTAGAACACTATTTTTTCCACTTATATATGCCAGATAAGTTTACACTAACATATTAAGCTAACAGTAGAACTAGGCATTAACCCTTTGACTTTCGGTCGTATATATACGTCTTATGCACCACTGTTTCTGACGTATTTATACGCGTAAATTCTAGTAGCTTTAAATCAAGCGGGAGAAAGCTGGTAGGCCCACATGTGAGAGAATGGGTCTGTGTGGTCAGTGTGCACCACATAAAAAAATCCTGCAGAACGCAGTGCGTAATGAGAAAAAAAAAAATGGCCGTTTTTTTGGATTAAAACTCCGACTTTGAGGTGTATTTTTGTATAGTATTTATCGTTGTATTCTCGTTTTCATGGTCTCGGGTGATAAAATGGAAAACATATTACAGAATTAGAGATGATTTTCATTACTTTCACGATGAAAACGACCTTGAAATTGAGCTCCAAGTAGTGGAAATGTTCAATTTTTATCAATGTTCAGGGGTAAGCAAATCACACCACACGTCCAATACACTTCAACTGGGGAGTCTAATAATCTTTCACTAGTGCACTGATATTATTTATACCATTTTTACAATAATGCAGTAGTCTGCATAACAGTAAATTTTGTATTTTTTTGTATGAATAAAAAATAAAAATAAAAAGCAATAGTAATATAAGAGGGGCCTTGAGACATGACTAATGAACAGAGGATATGTTATTTTAGTGCCAAGATGTCTACATTGTTTATTCTGGACCCTATTTTGAAATTGGCATCTTTTTTATTTTGCATGAAATTGGCCAAATTGCCAATTTCTGACCACTTTATTGGGTAGTTCAAATCGGTAAATGGGTGATTTCTTGTACTCAACAGATAGAAAAAATGGAGTTCTAAAGAAATAGCTATGAGTTTGGTCAACTGGAACAACAGAACTGGCCAAAAACAGGGCTCAAAGTCAGCAATATCGCCGATGCGTAAATGTCGCCGAGACCACTAACTCCACGGGAGCGTAATTCTGTGAGTTTTCGACCAAATTTCATACTTTTGGTGTCATTACCATCGGGTAAAGATTCTCTATCATTTCATAAGAAAAAATAATTTATTTTTTTCCCCAAAAATTTATCGACATAGATTGACAGTTTCAGAAAGGGGCTGTGACAGTCAAAGGGTTAAACAACAATAAAAAGTAAAAGACACACATGGTAGATTTATTACTTACCTTAAAATACTTGTAGTCTTAATGTAGAGTGAGAGGTGAGTCATATTCGTAGAAAAAACCATACCCCCAGCCGGGACTGAACCCGCGGTCATAGAGTCATATTCGTAGAAGTCAGGTGTAGGTAACCAACCTGGCTCCCACACCTAAACGTAATATACAATATTTAAAGTGTCCCAGACATACCTTGTTCATTGAGTTTATCCCAGACATACCTCGTTTATTGAGTTTAATCGTTTCTAAAAATTACCCCTAGATGCCATCATAATCGAGAGAGAATTAATGAGAAGCCATGCTGAGAATTGTAAACAAACCTGAAGGCGTAAGGTAAGTCACTTGTTCAAATCCGCATGGCTACCACATCTCATATTTATGTGAAATTTATTCCACTGTGGGTGTAAGTATCATGTTTATATGTTATGTAACGTGTTTCTTATATAATTTTGAAGAAAATATCATAGATGGATTAATGAAAATGTCTATATTAATGTAAAATGCAACATTTAATGTGCCCCAGAATGATTATTATTATGTACAGTATTAGTATTAATATGACATCAAGACTAGAGGGACACTCTTAGTGGTTTCAATGTGTACCTGCACACCAGCACAGTGTGTAAGTGTATTTAGGTACAAATATACATAAGTATAATTATCAGAATATATATAAAATATGCAATAACTTCAACCCTTCGACTGTTTTGGTTGTATATATACGTCTTACAAGCCACCGTTTTTGACGTATATATACTCAAATTCTAGCTGCTTCAAATCAAGCAGGAGAAAGCTGATAGCCCCACATGTGAGAGAATGGGTCTGTGTGGTCAGTCTGCACCATATAAAAAAATCCTACAGCATGCAATGCATAATGAGAAAAAAAAATCCAACCGTTTTTTTTAATTAAAATGCCGACTTTGTGGTCTATTTTCGTATAGTATTTATGGTTGTATTCTCATTTTCTTGGTCTCATTTGATAGAATGGAAAACGTATTATAGAAATAGAGGTGATTTTGATTGGTTTTACTATGAAAAGAACCTTGAAATGGAGCTCAAAATAGGGGAAATGTTTGATTTTTGCCGATGTTCAAAGGTAAACAAATGATGTCATTTTCCAATATGTGTCCAAGTAGCCATTCTAATATGCAGTCATGAATGGGTTGACATTATTTATACAATTATTACAATATTGCAGTAGTCTGCATAACAGTAAATCTTCAATTTTTTGTTTGAATAAAAATTCAAAACAGAAAGCAAGAGTAATATCAGAGGGGCCTGGAGATGTGACTGATGAACAAAGAAAATGTTATTTTAGAGCCAGGAATGTCTGCATTGTTCATTCTGGACCCTACTTTGAAATTGTCATATTTTTAAATTTTCGTGAAAGTGGCCAAATTGCAAATTTCTGACCACGTTATTGGGTAGCTGAAATTGGTAAATGGGCAGTTTCGTGTACTCAATCGATAGAAAAAATGGAGTTCTAAAGAAATAGCTATGAGTTTCGTGGACTGGAACAATGGAATTAGCCGAAATTAAGGCTCAAAGTGGGAGAAATCGCCGATTCGTGAATATCGCTGAGGTCGCTAACTTCGTGAGTGTAATTCCGTCAGTTTTCCATCAAATTTCATTCTTTTGGTGTCATTACAATCAGGAAAAGATTCTCTATCATTTCATAAGAATTTTTTTTTTTGGAAATTTTGCAACACCAGGAGACACCTCAGGATTTGGGGTTGCGACAGTCAAGGGGTTAAAACACTTAAAATTTTGGAAAGTTTCCTGACATAATGGAGAGAAGTGGAGCTTAAGGAGAATGTAAAGAAACTGGGTGGCACACACAGATTGTATTAGCAAGTCAGGTGGGGTAGGGGGGGAACCGTATAGCGAGTTTTGGTCATAATTTTAAAAATCCTTATTAGTGGAATGCCGTACAGCAGGGCCCTACTGTACTCAATTGGATGAATCTTATTAGGCTGGTATTTTCCAGTCGTTAACACACTGGCTTGGGAGTTTCAGGAGCTGCTTGTCATGGGTTCAAGCCCCCACTCATTCTTTGATTCTAACTGTAAACTCTTACAGTGAACCCTCAGTTAACAACATTAATCTATTCCAGAGAGCTTGTCTTCAACCAATTCTGTTGTTATCCGAATGAATTTTCCCCATAAGAAATAATGGAAATCCAATTAATCCGTTCCAGACACCCAAAAGTATTAAACAAAATAATTTTTTACATGAAATATACATTTCCCTACACAGAAAACAATGAGACATGCAGAATAAACAATACTAAAATGACACTTACCTTTATTGAAGACTTATTAATGAGTGATGAGATGGGAGGAGGGGAGAGGATGGAGATGTACTATTGCTTGGAAGGGAAATCCTCTTCCATAAAGACTTCAGGTACCAAGTCCTTTTCTGGGGTTACTTCCCTTCTTTGTTTTTTAATGCCACCAGGACAAGCTTGAGAGTCACTGCACACCTGTGGCACTACTTATCTGTCCAGAGAGCTCTGTTTCTGGCATCTCTTCAAAATTTCCCTAAAATGGGACACAACATTGTCATTGTAGATGTTGCCAGCACGGCCTGCAACAGCTGTGTCAGGGTGATGCTCATCCATAAATGTTTGCACATAAGAAAGCAGGAATGCTGCAGCAGGCCTGTTGGCCCATGCTAGGCAGGTCCTTCACAAACAATCCCACTAACAGAATAGTATTTGCCCAACCCAATTTTTAATGCTTCCCAAGCAATAAGCTTTGATAATTCTGTTCACTCATGTGCACGTCCCACTCAAATCAAATCATGTGTGTGGGGAAGTACCCTGGCTGGTATGTGGGCAAGTACCCTGGCTGGTATGTGGGCAAGTACCCTGGCTGGTGTGTGGGGGAAGTACCCTGGCTGGTGTGTGGGGGAAGTACCCTGGCTGGTATGTGGGGAAGTACCCTGGCTGATATGTGGGGAAGTACCCTGGCTGGTATGTGGGGAATTACCCTGGCTGGTGTGTGGAGAAGTACCCTGGCTGGTATGTGGGGGAAGTACCCTGGCTGGTATGTGGGGAAGTACCCTGGCTGGTATGTGGGGAAGTACCCTGACTGGTATGTGGGGAGGTACCCTGACTGGTATGTGGGGAGGTACCCTGGCTGGTGTGTGGGGAAGTACCCTGGCTGGTGTACCACCATCATTACCCTCTACCACCACCACTTTCATATCTTTCTACCAGCTTTTCCTTGAATTCTATAGTATTTCTCACCCTCTTTACCAAAGGGCTGGCACTAGAAGCTTTCTTGGGGCCCATGGTGGCCCCAAGAAAGTTACAAGCAATAAAAACAATGGAATAATTCAAAATGTATCACATGTTGAATTATCCTCATTGGCTTGTAAACAATGGTACACTGGCTGTACATGGAGTGGCCGGGCCACTCAGACTGAGCGGGCACGTTCGGGACGAAAGACTTGAACCAAGTTCTTTGTCGTTAACTGAGCCAATATTTTGATGCAAAAATGTGTCATTATCCGATTTTTATGTTATCCAATGACGTCGTTAACTGAGGGTCCACTGTACTAAAGTCAAATGAATACTGTACCAGCAGCTGTACTCACCCAACCTCTGGAGCATTTGGATCGTAGTTGGGTAGAAGTGAACGGAAGAACGAAGCCAAAATACTTGATGAATTATTCACTGGCTGGTTGGATGACGGAGGTCTATTATAGCCACAGATAGAGTCAGGGGGTGGCAAAGGGTCGTAACTCATTACTGGAGTATTAGCAAGGGCCTGGAAGTAAATAAAGTTTACTCTTTTAGATATGGGCTACAGAACACAAATTATTTGTGGAATGAGCTAAATGTTTGAAGAACTAATGAATTGCATCTAAGTTAATGCAAAAGAGAACATTTTCTACTTTGCACAAATGAAGCTTTATACAGACTGCACTGTATTTCATGGCAATAATAAAATAATTCATGTTAAGCATCAAACTCATGTGGGCCATTCAGCATAGGATGTATTGGAGGATTGATCCTCCATCTGCTGAGCTCAAGACAGATGCCCTTCCTATTTGTACTCAACTAGACTTATACCATATTTCATGGCAGATGTGTATGTGAGTCTTTAACACAACTTCAGGAACTATTCATTACTGTATACCGAAAATTTCTCAAAAGCCAACCGTTTTCTATTTGGTGATAAGTTGACAAATTCGTTCTATTTTTATTACAAACCAAATCCCAGCATGAAGATGAGGATTACCTTGTACTGGATCTAGCTGGATTAAACAGACACTGTAATATTAGAAAGCATTTTGACCTGTCAGGTTATTCAGTATTCTTATCAGTAAAAAGATATACTATATGCACACAAACAAAAAATACTAATACTTTCAACACACTGGCCATATCCCACTGAGGCAGGGTGGCCCAAAAGGAAAAACAAAAGTTCCTTTTACATTTAGTAATACAGTGGAACCTCTACTTGTGAGCGTGTAGTTCTAAAGAAATAGCTATGTGTTTGGTCAACTGGAACAATGGAATTAGCCGAAAATAGGGCTCAAATTGGGCGAAATCGCCAATTCGTAAATATTGCAGAGGCCACTAACTTCGCGAGAGCGTAATTCCGTCAGTTTTCCATCAAATTTTGTTCTTTTGGTGTCATTACAATCAGGAAAAGATTATCTATCATTTCATAAGAAAAAAAAAATTTTTTTTTTTTTGGAAATTTTGTGACACCAGGAGACACCTCAGGATTTGGGGTTGCAACAGTCAAGGGGTTAAATGACAGTCTACTGTACATGAAAAACAAGTTGATAACTATGAGTGTGCCAATGTGCCATAAGGGAAGCAGTCATGGTCTTTCATATAACAGGTGAGCCTCACTTATACAGCAGGTTAGGGTACTGATGTAAAGCCTTTGTTCACTTTCAAATGCATAAAAAAGCCTGATAACATGTTCACACTACCATATCTTAACCCAGGGGTGGCCAACCTATGGTGCATGAACCAAAAGTGGAACATTGCACCCATGATGATAATAAAAATGTATGCCTACTCAAACAAAAGGTATTAACTAATACAGGTCGGCCATCACTAATCCGGCAATCAGTAACCCGGTTCCATCAGTAATCCGGCACTAATTTTGCTTAGCATAATTTCAAATTTCTGGGGTCACCACATCAACCTGCTGTTACTATTTGGTGCAACTATTTGCTCCATAAGCCATTCCAATTTCTTTTTCTCCATTTGTTATAACCTGCTCACTTTTTAGCACTAGCTAAGGTTCCAACAAATAAGAGAAGTGTTTCACATTGTGTAAAGCACATACACCGAACACTGTATATAAAAGATAAGGTGGCTTTGAAGCCACTGTCAGTCTCCATGAGTTTAGCTCACTCACATAAGCTATGACTGGTAAATTTGGGCCTCCATATGAGAGAATAGGTCTATGTGGTAAGTGTGTATTATATAAAAAAATCCTACAGCACGCAGTGCATAATGAGAAAAAAACGGTGACCGTGTTTTTGGTGTAAAACGGATTTTGCGGTGTATTTTCATACGGTTTTTTGGTTGTATTCTTGATTTTTTGGTTTCATTTGATAGAATGGAAGATATATTACAGAAATAGATATGATTTTGATTGGCTTCACAACGGCTCAAAGTAGTGGAAATGTTAAATTTTTGCCGATATTTGAGAGTAAACAAATGATGTCACCATCCAATATGTGTCCAACTGGCAAGTCTAATATGCAGTCATGAATGAGTTGACATTATTTATACAATTATTACAATAATGTAGTAGTCCTGAATACACCTACCATCCAACTTACGACCTGCTCAACCTACGACCACTCGACTTACGACCGTGTTTTTTATGCCAAATTTCTGGGAAATAAACAACTATTTGTGTTGTACACAGTGTTCATCCTAAACCTTACAGTATAAAATACAGTACTAACAACATAAAAAGTAAAGTAAAACATGAAATACCAAAATAAAACAATAAAATAAATCATTACAAAAATGTTTTGTTGATATTCAGTAGTAAAGTTCGACTTACGACCATTTCGACTTACGACCGGTTTCTCGGAACCGAACTCGGTCGTAAGTCGGATGGTAGGTGTAACAGTAAATCCTCTATTTTTTGTGTATACCTGGAGAGGGTTTCGGGGTCAATGCCCCCGTGGCTCAGTCTGTGACCAGGCCTCATGGTGGATCAGGGCCTGATCAACCAGGCTGTTACTGTTGGTTGATCAGGCCCTGATCCACCATTAGGCCTGGTCACAGACCAGATCCCTGAAACCCTCTCCAGGTATACACAAAAAATAGAAGATTTACTGTTATGCAGACTACTGCATTATTGTAATACAGTGGACCCCCGGTTATCGGCTGGTTCTGTTATCGGCCAACTCGGTGAAGGGTCGGTTTTTCGGCGGCCGGTTATCGGCAGTTAATTCAGTGATCGGCGGTTTGGCTGGGGCCCCTTGCGCGTCAGTTTGGCTGTGTCTCTCGGTGGCTGAGGAAGCTTCTGCTTATACATCCAAACATTTTGCTTATTTCCTATTGCAGTTTGTGTTATTTTTGCAGTGCAACTGTGAAATAAGTAACTATGGCTCCAAAGAAAGTTCCTGTGGTAAAGAAAGTGAGAAACATCATGGGATTTAAGCGTGAAGTAATAGAAAAGTTTAAGAGTGGTATGAGGGTACTGGAACTTGCCAGGATGTACAACAAGAATAAATCAACAATTACATCCATCCTGTCAAAGAAACAACAAATCAAGGATGCTAATGTTGCAAAAGGAGTAAGTTTTCTAACTAAACAAAGGCCACCAATAATGGAAGAAATGGAAAAGTTATTATTATTGTGGATTATGGAAAAAGAATTGGTGGGAGACAGTGTTGTGGAGTCGATTATTTGTGAGAAGGCAAGGCAATTGCATGAGGATCTTGCAAAAAAAATGCCTGGAACAAGTGCTGCAGTTTGTGAATTTATGACCAGCAAAGGCTGGTTTGATAGATTTAAGAAGCGAAGTGGCATACACAGTGTTGTAAGGCATGGTGAGGCTGCAAGTTCTGACAAATGTGCGGCTGAAAAATTCTGTGCAGGAATTCCAGGGGTACATAGAGGCTGAAGGATTCAAACCCCAACACGTGTTCAATTGTGACAAAACAGGCATGTTTTGGAAAAATAATGCCAAACAGCACCTACATTACCCAGGAGGAACAGGCACTGCCAGGACACAAGCCTATGCTAGTGGGTAATGCTAGTGGGGAATTCAAAGTGAAGCTTTTACTCGTGTATCACTCAGAAAATCCCAGAGTGTTCAAGAAAAACAATGTCGTGAAGAATAGATTGTGTGTGATGTGGAAAGCTAATCATTAGGCATGGGTCACAAGGCAAATTTTCAAAGTGTGGGTTAATGATGTGTTTGGCCCAAGTGTGAAAAAATACCTCCTGGAAAAGAAATTGCCACTCAGGTGCCTCCTGGTACTGGACAATGCTCCTGCACATCCTCCAGACTTGGAAGACCAAGTGTTTAGGGACTTCAATTTTATAAAAGTGAAGTTCTTCCCTCCTAACACCACTCTTCTTCTCCAGCCCATGGACCAGCAAATCATTTCTAACTTCAAAAAACTCTACACAAAAGCAGTGTTTCAAAAGTGCTTTGAAGTGACCTCAGACACTCAGTTGACCCTAAGAGAGTTCTGGAGGAATCACTTCACTATCCTCCATTGCATAAGCCGTATAGGTAAGGCATGGGAGGGAGTGACTTCCAGGACTTTGAACTCTGCTTGGAGAAAACTGTGGCTAGATTGTGTCCAAGAGAGGGATTTTGAAGATTTTGAGGCTGACCCTGACCCTGCCGACCCTGTGGACTCTATTGTGGCACTGGGGAAGTCCCTGGGGTTAGAGGTGAGTGGTGAGGATGTGGAAGAGTTGGTGGAGGACCACAGGGAAGAGCTAACCACTGAAGAGCTGCAAGAGCTTCAACTCAAACAGCAACAGATTGCAGCTGAGGAACTTGCTTCAGAGGAGGAAGAGGGAGTGAAGGAAGTGCCTTCTTCATTGATTAGGAACATTTGTACAAAGTGGAATGATGTGCAAAGATTTGTTGAGAAGTACCACCCTGACAAAGATGAAACAAGCCATATCTGCAGCATGTTTAGTGACAAAACCCTGTCCCACTTCAGGGAAATCTTAGAGAGATGCCAGAAACAGAGCACTCTGGACAGTTATTTTGTGAGACGGGTGCAGTGACTCAAGCTGGTCCTAGCGGCATTAAAAGACAAAGAAGGGAAGTAACCCCAGAAAAGGCATTACTACCTAAAGTCTTCCCTCTTTCCTCCTCCCTATCTTCCAGAAGCCAGCAGCCTTCAATAAAGGTATGTAATATTTATATAATTGTTAAAAAAATTATTTTTTTTGTGAATATTTTTGTCTGGAACATTAATTGTATTTACAGTAATTCTTACAGGAAATATTATTTCGGTTTTCAGCCGACCTTCTGGAACAGATTATGGCCAATAACCGAGGGTCCACTGTAATTGTATAAATAATGTCAACCCATTCATGACTGCGTATTAGACCAGCCAACTGGACACGTATTGGAAGACGACATCATTTGTTTACTCTTGAACATCATTAGATGGAAAGCAAGCTTAATATAAGAGGGGCCTGGAGATGTGACTAATGAACAGAGAAAATGTTATTTTAGTGCCAGGAATGCCTGCATTGTTTATTCTGGGCCCCATTTTGAAATTGGCATGTCCTGAAATTTGTGTGAAA